CTAATGAGATAGTTTAGGGATAGGAACCAAACCTAGACACGAAATTTATGTATATGTGTGTATGTATGTATTATGTGTACGTATACATGCATATACACCTTATACACATAGTTTGAAGGTAATTTTATATGCTATTTTAAATAATTTTATTTCATGATGCAGAACTTTCCTTCTGTCAGCACTGAAATGTTTGGAGCATTGCAGGTTTTGGATTTTCAGAGTAGGGGTGCGCAACCTGTTGTCTAGAATGATTCTATGCGAGTCTTCTCTGGACATCAGGGGAAGCCTGTCCTGCTTGTGGGGCTGAACAGAAGTGTGAGAGCAGAAGGGAATTTATTTTGCCTGGATCCCTGGGCCGTGCCTGGACTGACCTGGCAACTGGGGACGCTTTCCTTAAGTCTGCAGCTGGCACAGGGAATGAGGCTGATGCTGTGTTCACGTCTCCAAATGAGAGGCAGCCCTGTTGATCCGGGAAACTGTTTTGAAGCAGTATTTCCAGAAGTTTCTTCAATCTGAAAAGCCCCAGACAAGCTCCTCCCTGTCAGACAGCAACCAATCAGATCAGCCACAGGCTTTTTTTGGGTTGGGTTTCCTCATTTCATGGCCAGGCCTCCAAAGAGACCAAATAATTGGTTTTGGCAGGGGCAACAAGAATGGTTAAGGTTCGGATTTAAAACAAGAACAACTGTGGAGGTTTAGATATAAAACAGATTTTTGGAGTTCAGAGTTCTCAGACTCTGCCATGCTTGCGTATCACCTGTGGATCTTGTTAACCTGCAAATTCTGATATAGCAGGTGGGCTCAAGCTGGAGTTCTGAATCTTTTCCCCCCTCCTCCTCCTGTTCCTCCTTGTCCTCCTCCTTTTCCCCCCTCCTCCTTCTCCCCTTCTTCCCCCCTTCCCTTTCCCCTTCCCTTTCCCTTTCCCTTCCATTTTTTTTTTATTTGACACTCAAAGTTAAAGGGAGAGACAGAGCCATCTCTCTGCTAGTTCACTCCTCAAATGGCCACAATAGCCAGGGCTGGGCCAGGCTGAAGCCAGGAGCTTCTTCCTGGTCTCCTATGTGGGCAGTAGGGGCCCAAGCACTTGGGCCATTTTCCACTACTTTTCCTGACTATTAGCTGGAAGCTGGATTGGAAGTGGCACAGCCAGGAGAGAAATTGATGCCCATATGGGATGCTGGTATTGCAGGTGTGGCTTTACCAGCTACATTCCAGGCCCCAAAACTCTAATTTCTAACATGGTCCAGACTGACACTTGGCATAGCACTGGCCTGGTTTAACCCTCAGTTTACAGGTGAGAGGTGGCTGAGAGTAACTACTAAGCAAGTTGCCTGGAACTTGGAACCAGATTTCGTGATTACCAGTGAAGCATTCTTGGCCAAATATGATATAAAATGCTTTATTTTCCCCTACAGTTTTCCCAGTATTTAGCATCCTTGAGTCTCAATCCAAGTTACTTATAGCTAGATGGTATGGATTTTAATCTTTGGAGAATTTTACTTCAATGATATCTTTGTTTTCTCGAAAGGTACATCTGAGCTTTGATTTTTTTTCTTTAAGCAAAAGGTACTCGGTAAAATTAGGGTGAGCATAGGAAAAAAGTTTGCGGAAAATATTATAAGCTGCATTTATAACTGAGATCTTTAGCAAACCATAGCGCTGGAACAAATTCCTGTTTTGTTTTGCATCCCATCCTCCTACTTGTATACTAACATGGATGCATAATCAAGAGACAGGATAATGAAACGGGAACAATCAGAGAGGGCTGGAATGAAGCAGGCTTGGCTGTGAAGTAGAATGCTGCACATCCCATCCCTGGAACACATGAGCACACAGTGGCGAAAGGCTCTGCACAAGCACTTATTCAAATGCCAGATCTAAGGCAGAAGTAAGGAAAGATAAAATGAGTACATATCTGGTGTGGAATTACACATCAGCTCCTAAAAGCAAAGGTGTTGATTTTAATTATTTGGCTTCAGTGCACTGGTTGTCGGAAGACCCAGCGATTTAAGCATTTGTAGATGAAGCGTCAAAGCCGAAAGTTCTTTTCAGAAAGGAACATCTCGATTTCTCCCACATGGTGCCCAGAATGAGTCCTATAAAGCAGGACACACTGATAAAGTGTTGGAAGTGATTTTCTGGATCGAACTCTGCATTGCAACAAATATGGATTCAACCAGAAAAGTAAGCCTTAAATTGCTTACTCTGTTTTGTAGCTGCAGTTCCTTTTGCTGCAGCCTAGACTGTTACACAAGCAAATAAATCCTTTTAATTGGCCCACCCCTGGGGCAAACAGCCCATCCCAGTAAGTAATCATGTGGAAGAGTGGAAGCTGTTGAGGTGGGGTGCATCCTGCTGAACAGTTTTTTGCTTTTATTTTACCAACTGATTTTAAAAGGCAGCATTGTAACTTGGCATTAAATATTTAAGAATGATATTAAGGAAAGATTGATTCATTTAACAGGCATAATGGAGTGGGGAAGCCACATGGAGTGACTAAAGGGCTTCTCAGTGGGAAATCTATGCTAGCAGGCATCAATCCGCACCTGGTAATGGTCATGAATGGGCTTGCCTTCTTGCTATTTAAATAAATTGATGTGCAATTCATCTGCTGTTTAGAGCCATTGGAAATTCACTGCACTAACTCTGTTCCTTGGCAAGCATCCCAATTAAGTGCTTGGGCTATTTATCAGAGTGCCAAGTGTAGTTCAAGTTGCCACCAAGCTTCTACCATTTACCAAAATGGCAATTTGTTCTAAAAGGGGCTATACAGGATGGGGTGGGCAGTGGGTTATAATAGAAAAGAGACTGGATCCAGACAAGTACAGTGCAAGTCCTAACTTCTTCATCAGAGGGTATGTCATTGAATCTCCCCCTAATTTTTTCTTTATTTCTGTAATAGGAAGAATAATGCTCCTGCTTTACTTACTTGTGAGGTACAAAACAAGACAATAAAAGGGAAAGCACATTTCCATTTAAAAAGTGCTATTCAAATTATGAGTTATCACTAAGGGCATAATTTTTGCAGGGACACCGTAAGTGCTGCCATTTATTTCCTCTAGTGTTCTACACCATTCTCTCTCCTCCCCTTTTTCGTCTTGATCAGACTATCTCAGAGTTGGGGGGACAATAAAAGTGTCAACGTTTTAAAAGGCTTGCACCTTATGAGATACATAGGTTTGTATTTCTTGGTGCTAAAATGTTCAGACTTGTCTTGCAGTTTTATTAGCCACTTCTTGGTGATATATAAATCAATAAGAGAGCACTTTAAAAGCACTTAAAATAGGTATGATCATAAAGAGCAGCTAGCTAATTTGAGAATTTTATTTATTTTATGGGAAGACCTAATAGATTTCAGTTGATTCCTGTCATTTTAAAACATACCATACTTCCTTTAGTCTTTCCCAGTTGGGTGTTTGGTTGTGAAATATAGAAATATGATCTATACCTTTTAATTTTAGAGAAATATACAACAAATTAAGTCCATGCTTTGCATTGAAATGGGAGTTCAGAAAAGCAAAGTGCTTACTGCTCAGTAACAAACTGCCTCTCACTGAAAAGTTTGAAACAAACAGTAAGATGGGTTATAGTCACTTGCTCGCCTGTCTCTGCTGACTCACTTAAATGGAAGGCATGATAACTAAAAATGCTTTGATAGGGTATGTGAATTAGGAATTGTGCTACTTAACTTACTTACCATTCTGATCCTTTGGGTGTTTACTTCTCTATCTTTTACACAATATTTCTTACGATAATTAATAAAGATGGCCAACTATGGTTTGCTGAACAGTGCTTCATCCTTCATATCTAATATACCTCAGTATTGTCTATGAATAATCCTGGAGACTGACTGACTCAAATGAAGATATTTTCATTAAGGGCAAGCAGTGTAACAATAACTCAACTATAGCAAAACCCTATGCAGTGTCTCCTTTTATGTAGCAAGGTGATATTTTCCAACCCCTCTCACTATACTCTGGCAATTGCCATTATATGGGCTATAATTCATCTCTCTACTCAGCTTTCCTCTATTGATTTTTATTGTTCCTGGCAAACTGTCTCCAGAATAATGGTTTCAACTAGAATCTAGTTTGTCTCAAGATCTTTTGGTTTAGCAACGACCATGCACAAAGAAGCACTGGTTCTATTGGTAAAGATTAGTGGAGAAAACAGCAGGCCACACTCTTCCTAGATTGGCTTAGAGCAGAACTTCTAATATTTTGCAAATAAGCATTGTTCACAAAATAAGAATGCTAATATGTTGTGATGGACTACATGGTTGCCCCCCCCCCTCCTGTGGTGAAACTCTAACCCCCAATGGGATGGTTTTAGGAGGTAGGATTGATTAGTATCATTATAAGAAGAGAAAGAGGCTACAGGAATATCTGTCTCCTTCCTCTCTGCCTTCTTCTCTATTCCCCTCTCTTCATGTGACTGCATGTGACAGAACCAGAAGACAGATGGTGGTCTACCAGGAAGGGGGCCTCACCAAACCTTGATTCTGTTGAAACCATGATCTGGGATTCATAGTCTCCAAAACTGTAGAAGTAAATTTCTACAGTTTAAACCACCTTGTCTATGGTATTTTGAAAATATCAGACCTACATGACTAAGACATATACAGACATATTTTCTGACTACAAGGCAAGAAAACTAATGGCAAAGAAGCTAAATTTAGAAAAATGTAAGTCATTCTAAAAAAGTAAATCTCATGTTTGTAGGAATCAACATTGCAATTTCACATGAAAGAGCTTCAAAAACTTCATGCAAATTGAAATTGAAAGATAAAAATATTAACCTTATTTCTCAATATAAGCTCCATCAAGTTCAAGATTCTTCTGTAAGCTGTGATAGAAGCCCCTCCCCCCATTTTTTAGAGTTTATTTAAGGTACACAAATATCATGCATTTAATATATACAGATTTAGCAACATAGTGATACTTTCACCCCCTCTACCCATGCTGCTACCCCTTTTCCTCTTCCCTCTCCTATTCTCTCTCTTTTTTTTTTTTTTGGAGGGACTGGTTCTTTATTTCAAAAAGACACTTATTGTCAATAATCAGTATCAAAACAGTTACACTATTGGTTTTTCTTTCTCCCAACAGGCCCCAAAGAGACCACACCAAAGGAGAGTACATTTTAAGCCAATAAGCTGCAGGATGTACACCTAACAGACCTCACAGAAACCTCACCAAAAGTGGGGACGGGGTGGGGGAAGGAACTTGGAAAGACTAGCACACTGCCAGCTCAGACTGTGGAATGTTCTCACAGCCAGAAGGGCTGGCCAGGGTCCCCAAGGCCAGAGAAGCAAAGTTTCAAAATAATATAAAATTTTAAAAGTTTTGTACAGAAGCTATTCAAGATTTCTCCAGCACTGACTGATACGAAGCACAATGAGATGGCACTTTTAGAAACAGCAGCTTCAGACCCAGCAAAGGGTGGTGAGATGAGTTTTATATGGCTAAATCAGTGGCAAAAACATAATTTTCTTTCTCTCAAGGAGGCAGGAAAAGCAGTGAAGTGATCACCTCAACCTAAGAGGCACATGATCCATTCTGCAAGCTGTTGGGAAGGGGCAGAGGTGGGGCAAAAAATTGGTCTCAGAGGTCTTACCATTTTAATTTGGTCACTTCTGATGAATGAAAAAAACAAAACAAAACAAAAACAGTGTCCAAAGATACCTTAAAGCTGTAAACCTGAACAGCGTGAGGGGTTTTTGTTTTTGGCCAACTCCTCCCAGAATCACCTTTCTGGTTTGGCTGATGCTTTGTACAGAGCAGTGAGGTTCCCCACAGAGGAGGCTTTCCTGGGCTCTGTCTGGCGCCCAGTAAGGCAGCCCCAACACCTCTTTTCTTGCTCTGCGGACAGGGCACTATGCATTAAGCTGAAAAGTTACCTTCAAAAACTAAGAAAAGTATTAGATTGCTCCTTCCGAGTGTGGAATTACTTGGAATGTTTTACAAAATGGTCACTACAACAACAAAAAAGGTAATTACAAAATGTGTACATCACATCATGCTTTGAAAGACACTTTGCATTGTGCTCACATTCCCTTAAATGTTCCCAAAAGTGCTCAGCCTCTGGTCCCACTGGAATCTCTGGGAAGAGGCAGAGACAGTTTGGTGAAAGGACACGGGGGCGGGGTCTAAGGACAGAGGAGGTGGGTGGCAAAAGGAGAAAGCAGCCTTCCAGTTAAAAGATCAGCCCTCAGTTTAGAGGTCAGCTCCGGGCAGGCTGGCCTCAGGTGGAGTCGGGGTCAGAGGGAGGAGCAGCGGCAGGGCGGGACTGGGGTGCTCTACATCTCGTTCAGGTCAAGCAGAGTCTGGTCCAGCATCCTTTGTGTACAGAGGTGCTCCTCTTTGGTGCATTTCAGTTTATCTTCCAAATCATCAATTGTCTTTTCCAGCTTGGCTACCGATCTCTCAGCAAATTCAGCACGGGTCTCCGCCTCCTTGAGTTTATCGGTGAGAATCTTTATTTCTTCCTCATATTTGTCCTCTTTTTGAGAGTACTTTTCCTCAGCAGCACTCAGACACTTCAGGTTCTGGTCCATCAGTCTGATCTGCTCATCCATCTCTCGGCAACGGGACTCTGCCAGCTCAGCTCGTTCCTCTGTGCGTTCCAAGTCTCCTTCAATAATCACCAATTTACGAGCCACCTCTTCATACTTCCTGTCTGCCTCTTCTGCAATGTGCTTAGCTTCTTTGAGTTGGATTTCCTGGAGTTCCATCTTTTCTTCATCTTTTAAGGCCCGGTTTTCAATAACCTTCATACCTCTCTCACTCTCATCAGCAGCTTTTTCTGCTTCTTCCAACTTTTGCAGGGCAGTGGCCAGGCGCTCCTGAGCACGATCCAGCTCCTCTTCCACCAACTGGATCCTGCGGTTCAAGGAAGCCACCTCAGCCTCAGCCTGCTCTCGGGCCCGCCTTTCCCCCTCCACCTCCCGCTGAAGGCGCTCCGCCCTCTCCTCTGCATCATCCGCCTGCTGCTGCAGAACCTGGATCTTGCGCTTCACCGCCTCGATGGTGGTGATCCCGGCCATGGTGCCCACCCAGCTGCTTCTCGCGCTCGGGCTCCTGCCTCCTCCGCTCGGCGTTGCAGCCGCTTCTCCCCCTCTCCTATTCTCACTCTTAACTTCTACAAAGATCTATTTTTAGTTTACTTTATACTCATAAAATTAATCTCACACTACATAAAGAATTCAACAAATAAGCTGAACTAATTGAGTCGTCTGTAGTTGGCTACTGTTTCTGATGTCAATCATCAATACTTTCAATTAAGGCACAAACGAGATTAATTTTCTTTGCAAATTGATATGAATAGTCTGCTGCTGTAGGCCTTTTCTCCAACATTGCCTCATTCCTTTTTTTTTTTTTTTTTTTTTTTTTTAACAGGCAGAGTGGACAGGGAGAGAGAGAGAGAGACAGAGAGAAAGGTCTTCCTTTGCCGTTGGTTCACCCTCTAATGGACGCTGCGGCCAACGCGCTGTGGCCGGCACACCGCGCTGATCCAAAGGCAGGAGCCAGGTGCTTCTCCTGGTCTCCCATGGGGTGCAGGGCCCAAGCACTTGGGCCATCCTCCACTGCACTCCCTGGCCACAGCAGAGAGCTGGCCTGGAAGAGGGGCAACCGGGACAGAATCTGGCGCCCCGACCGGGACTAGAACCCAGTGTTGCCGGCGCCGCAAGGCGGAGGATTAACCTATTGAGCAGCGGCGTGGGCCCTCATTCCTTTTTAAATTGAATCATCTTCCCATAAATATGTGTAATTTTTATGTCTTAATATTTAACATAATAAAAATAGATAAATCAGGTGGTAGAAAGCACTTATTACTTGAAAATAACAAAGACATTTTTGCCCTGAGAAAATATGAGTTAGTGGTTGGCGTGGTGGCACAGTGGATTAAGCCAGTACCTGAAATGCTGGCATCCCACATGAGCACCAGTTCTAGTCCTGACTGCTCTGATCCACCACCCTGTTAATGGGCCTGGGAAGGCAGCTGAAGATGGCCCAGGTATTTGGGCCCCTGCCACCCACATGGGCTACCCAGATGGAGTTCCAGGCTCCTGGCTTCACACTGGCCCAGTCCCAGGTGTTGGGGCCATTTGAAGAGTGAACCAGCAGATGGCAGAGTGTCTGTCTGTCTGTCTCTCTCACATTTCCTCTGTGTCTGTAACACTGCCTTTCAAGTAAATACATAAAGAAATCTTTAAGAAAAAATAAGTTATTCATTTGTAAAGTGCTCATTTCTATTTATTTATTTATTTATTTGAAAATCAGACACACACACACACACACAAAGAGGCATAGTGTAACAGTCAGAGAAAGACAGAGATCCATCCACTGGCTCCCTCCCCAGATGCCTGGGACAGCCAGGGCTGGACCATGCGGAAGTCAGAGTACAGGAACTCAGTCTGGGTCTTCCATGTGGGTAGCACAGACCCAGGTCCTTGAATTATTACCTACTACTTTCCAGGATGCACATTAACATGAACCCAGGTACTCAAATATGGGGTGCAGGCCTCTCAAGTAGCGTCTAACACCCTGCCAAATGCCCACCCATGGAAACTGCTAATATCTCTAGGGTATTGTCCCCTGAGTTTTTACAAAGCATCAATGATTTTTATCATTCCACTCAAACATCATTATAAATTTGAAGTTTGTTCTTCAATTTTAGCAGGATTTCCTTATTTACTTTTTATTTATTTTAAAGGCACAGTTAGGAGGAGAAAGAGATATCTAGCCACTGGTTGACTCCTCAAAAGGCCTCAATGATCGGGGATTGGCCAGGCCAAAGCCAGGAGCCTGGAGCCTCTTCTGAGTCTCCTACATGGCTGCGGGGACTCAAGCACTTGGGCCATCTTCTGCAGCTTTCCCAGGCACATTAGTAAAGAGCTGGATCAGAAGTGGAGCAGCTGGGACTTGAATCTGTGCCCATATGGGATGTGGTGTCCCAGGCGGAGACTTAACCTGGTACACCACAGTGCCGACCCCTACAGGATTTCTTTTGATTTGATATGGGCTGTTTTCAAATTCATGTCTTATCCTTCTTAGTGTCAAAATAGATATAGTTTAGATATGTTATAACAAGTTAACAGGACCGCAGCTCACTTGGCTAATCCTCTGCCTATGGCGCTGGCACCATGGGTTCTAGTCCCGGTCGGAGCGCCAGATTCTGTCCCAGTTGCCCCTCTTCCAGGCCAGCTCTCTGCTGTGGCCTGGGAGTGCAGTGGAGGATGGCTCAAGTGCTTGGGCCCTGCACACGCATGGGAGACCAGGAGGTAGCACCTGGCTCCTGGCTTTGGATCGGCGCAGCGCGCTGGTCGTAGCGGCCATTTTGGGGGTGAACCAACAGAAAGAAGACCTTTCTCTCTCTGTCTCTCTCTCTCTCTCACTGTCTAACTCTGCCAGTCAAAAAAAAAACAAAAAACAAAAAACAAAAAACAAACAAAAAAAACAAGTTAATAGGAGTTTATTTTGCTGCAGGAATGTTTCCAAACCCATGTACACTTTTTCTATAACATGCAATTTCTGTAAACTTTTTGCAGATTGCCTCCCCTCAAAATAAATGCTATTACAGTGACTTTAAAGGAGATTTCCCCTGTTCAATGAAGAAATATTACAAAAATTAAATTGTCTTGCCTCTCAGTTTAAAAATAGGTTTAAAAAGGTTCAAAATTTATCAAAATCTCTCAGTGCCTTGAGCAAAGTAATCCCACTTAAATGGGATTATCAAATTTTGGGGTAGACTGTTATAAAAAGTTTAGAATTAAGGCGATCTCTTGACTTAAAAAGTCAATATTTAGATTTAAAAAATCACTTATAGGACAGGTGTTTGTCACAGCAGTTTAGGTGTTGTTTGGGATGCCCACATTCAGTACTGGAGTGCAACGTTTGAGTCCTGGTTCCTCTGTTTTCACTATAACTTCCTGCTAATTCACATTAGGTAGCAGATGATGCCTTCAGTGTTCAGGTCCCTGCCACCAATGTAGGAGTCCAGGATTGAATTCCAGGCTCCTGGCTTTGTCTGACGCTGCCAGGGCTGTTGTGGACATTTGGAGAATGAACTGGCATATGGAAGATCATTGTCTGTCTTTCTGCATTCAAAAAAAATGAAAATAAAGTTTTTATAATGAAAAATAGCTAAACAAGTCACTTTCATAACTTTGGGATAAATTCATGTAATCTATAAAGGAAATAATTTTCAGGGAAAAGTGATGTTTTGAAATGCTGTGAAAAACTACCATTGAATGAAATTAATCTGTAGTCTGCTCATTTAAGCTGGTTGAAACATACATGTTCTGATCAGATGATTTCCCACTGCAATAAATGTTGATAAAACATAATATTAAAGTTTTGTATTTCCATTATTTTCTACAAACAGATTGACTAAGACCTAAGTATTTATTTATTAATAATTGTGTGTACAGACAACAAAGCAGTAGAAATTAATGATACTTTCTATATTGTGTGTGTTATTTAAGCTTTCTCTGTACTTTTGTTTCCTCAAACATAAACTGGAACAACAATTAATACATATCTTAACGGGCTGCTTTGAGGATCGAATAAATTAATGCTTATAAAGGTTAGTCCCTGGCATACACTAAGTACTCAATAAATAACTTTTATTTTTATTGTCACTCAGTATTATTTGCCACCTCATTGAAGCGCACTTATATACTAGCCTTACCTATTTCTCCAAAATCTCCGTTCCTATCTGTCTATGCAAAAAATAGCTTCTTTTCAAGATTCTTTACTCTGAGCCAAGGTTTTCCTGTTTTGGTTCTGCAGGTTGTACTTACCACAACTCCAGGGCGCATTCTTTGCATTATGGTCTTCATCTTGGAAAGTCCTTATGGTGATATTCTAGTAGATATTGGCAGAAATGAGGCTCTCTAAAAAGGTTAATAGTCAGGGCCGAATTTTAGTGACAAAGGCCCAGAAGCCCAGGCGCTTTTGTAGATTCTTGGGAAATATACCAATGTGGTCAAATTATAGTCAGAATTTATGTATTACTTGACAGTAAGTTTTCATTTATAATTACAGAATGGACATACATTGACTTGGCCTGAGAAGGCGGGCTTTGGGTAAGTAGGAGCAAATTTCTCATAGGTTGGAAATTACTTTCTTTAGAATATGTTTACAAACATCTCCAAAAAGAGGTTACAGAAAAAGAGGCCAGTGATTTTAAGAAGAACATTTCTGGAAATAGATAAGGAATGGTGAATATATTATAAGGAATAACAGAAAAGAACAAAGGGCTGTACAAGGTTGCTGCAGAAAACTAAGGCAAAACCAGACTTGTCGCTCCCCCTCTTCGTGGAGGAACGACACAGGACCCTGCGCTGTTCTTTCGTCTGCTCGGCCCTCCCCGGGTTTGCTGCTGGTTCTTCCCGGGTTGGCTACTATCCCTTCCACCTCCGTGGAAGGGCAGTTCCCCCTGGCCACATTCCCCACTTCCGCAGGGGAGCGGCACCCGCCGGCCGGCTCTCTGGGGGCTGCACGGGTTTTCCTTCAGCTAGATGTTCCCCATAGATGTTCCTCGTGTTCTCTCTCCTCCTTTATAGTCGTCCTCCGCCAATCCCAACTCGGCTGCCCACACGCCGAGTACGCTGCTCTCCTCCAATCAGGAGCAAGTCCTACAGTTAATTGGTTGAACTGGAGGCAGCTGTGCGGAAGCTGTTTACTTCTCTCCCAGCGCCATATTGTGGGAGAGCAGATGCATAGAATAAGTCCTAATTCGAGTAACAGTCTAGTCCGGATTGCTCCCCACAGATCCCCCTTTCTTTTTATTTTTTAGCGTTGATAGTGTTGGTTCGTGCCTATCTTCGGTGACCTGCAGCTCATACTCTGGTCGAGCTTTGCTGGCGCTTACCGCCTTAAATCAGGCAGACCGAATCCAAGCTTTAATATTGTTGTATTGTGAGAAGCCTTACTGATGTTAATTCGTGCCTGTCTTCAGTGACCTGCGGCTAGCCGCCCAGGTGCTCATCGCCTCACTAATCGGGCAGACCGAATCCAAGCCTTCTAATTGGCATGTTGAGGGGAGGCCTTATTTTTCTCTATTTCTCTATCTCCGGGCATTCCTACCTCTCCCATTTCACTTCTATC